AAAAATCTTTTAAATGCAAAATAAAGTGGCATGGTTTACATGTCAATTACTTTACCACCACCAAATGAGATGTATCTCTAAAATCTAAGGTTTCCTCTTTCAATCTTATTCGTCTTTTTGTCTAAATTCAGATATTCATGACTTTTTGATAGAAACTGAGAGAGATTTTGCCACTATTCATTCCATTTATTTCCCACCCTGCTACTGGAGTTATCTTCAATAAACCTATGCCTTTCACATCCATCCCCCCAGACTAATTTTTGATTTCCTATAGCAAAATAGCATAAAATTTTTTTTTTGAAAAGGAGTTTCGCTCTTGTTGCCCAGGCTGGAGTGCAATGGTGTGATCTCGGCTCACCACAACCTCTGCCTCCCGGGTTCAAGCGATTCTCCTGCCTTGGCCTCCCAAGTAGCTGGGATTACAGGCATGTGCCACCACACCTGGCTAATTTTGTATTTTTAGTAGAAATGGGGTTTCTCCATGTTGGTCAGGCTGGTCTCAAACTCCCAGCCTCAGGTGATCCACCCACCTCGGCCTCCCAAAGTGCTGGAATTACAGGCATGAGCCACTGCTCCCACCCAAAACAAAATATCTTAAAGTTAACCAAACATCTCAAAGTCCATGGTCATATGTTCCTTATCATATAATGCTTATTTACCATAGGGCCACTACATTTCAGAACCCTAAACTTTCCAAGTTGTTTTGATATATGAAAACTCTGTATCCTAGGATGTGCCTTTTTACACGCTGTTCTGACTAGAATATCCTTCTCCATCTGGTAAACTACTACCAAACCTCTAAATCCTAACTCAACCAGAAAATATTTCTTAATTGATGATAATTTGCTATCCCTTTGATGCTTTAAAAATTCTGAGTGCTTATTAAGTTGTAATCTGCCAAGATAATACAAAGTTCTTAAAAGCAAGGCAAATATTTTATTCACCTGACAAAATTCATGGAACACAGCGTCCAATCAATAAAAAATAAAGTCACCAATATAAAAAATGAAGTCACCAATATCACTTTAGTTAGAGCCATTTTTTGCTTAAGTTAATAAGAAAAGCATCCTTGGGGCTAGGCGCTGTGGCTCATGCCTGTAATCCCAAGCACTTTGGGAGGCTGAGGCGGGTGGATCACGAGGTCAGGAGACCTAGACCATCCTGGCTAACATGGTGAAACCCCGTCTGTATTAAAAATATAAAAAATTAGCTGGGCGTGGTGGCAGGGCCTGGAGTCCCAGCTACTCAGGAGGCTGAGGCAGGAGAATGGTGTGAACCCTGGAGGCAGAGTTGGCAGTGAGCCAAGATCGCGCCACTACACTCCAGCCTGGGTGACAGAGCGAGACTCCGTCTCAAAAAAAAAAAAAAAAGAAACGCGTCATTAGAATCTCAATCTAGTAAGGCAGAGAGAAGATAATGATCAGAAAGACAATTAGTCTCATACAACATAAGACAGTACACTGAACACTGATATTTGTGTATATTACTTTTGTATGGACTTCCCCCCCACATCAGAAAGGGTAATGTATTGACCTTAACAGAAAGTTTGAGGGAGGTGTACCTCACACGAGCGCAAAAACACAATCATCATGCTTATTAAATACAAACGAATCTATATTGGTTTTTGATAGTCAAATTATTTTTTTCAAACGTGGAAGAAAAAGGGATGTTAGCTAATAGGTACTACTACTTACTCTGTAGTTTTGTAAACGTCAGAATACAGCCCTGCTTTCTGATACTTCTTCTTTGGGGGACGTGGGGGCTTCTTTTCCCTTGGGATGAGAGAAAGCACAGGCTGCAAGGTACTTTCAGGTTCAGGAGGTTTAGCTGGGGTTTCAGGAGGACTGGGAATCTCAACTGGTGCTTCATTAAAGCTAGAAAGAGAAGTTTAAAGATAATTTTATTGTGAAAAAAATGTTTTCCTACAAATAATTGTCTACTTAAAAAAAATCACAGCAATTAAAAAAAGAGATACAGGGACTTCCTTATCTGGCCATGTTTAAGTAACTGGTACGATACTTCACCTGACAAGAAGTAATAGAAATATGGTAATCTACTAGACACTTAGAGAACACTTTATTTTATTTTAGGTTTTGAGTCAGAGTCTTGCTCTGTCACCCAGGCTAGGGTGCAGGGGCACAATCTTGGCTCATTGCCTCCTGAGTTCAAGTGATTTCTTCTGCCTCAGCCTCCCGAATAGCTGGGATTACAGGGGCACGGCACTACGCCCAGCTAAGTTTTGTATTTTTAGCAGAGACAGGGTTTCGCCATGTTGGCCAGGCTAGTCTTTAACTCCTGACCTCAAGTGATACGCCCGCCTCGGCCTTCCAAGTGCTGGGATTATAGGGGTGAGCCACTGTGCCTTGCATGAGAAAAATTTAAAAGACGATTATTATCAGATACTGGACAACAGTGAGTGCAGCACTGTGATCCCTGAGAAATCTGAAAAGAATGCGGTGAGTTACACAACCACCTTGCCTTTCTTTTCTGTTTTTCTTTTTGTTTTTTGAGATGGAGTCTCACTCTGTTGCCCAGGTTTGAGTGCAGTGGCACAATCTTGTCTCACTGCAACTTCTGCCTCCTGGGTTCCAGAGATTCTCCTGCCTCAACCTCCTGAGTAGCTGGGACTACAGGCACCTGTCACCACATCTGGATGATTTTTGTATTTTTAGTAGAGACAGGGTTTCATCATGTTGGACAGGCTGGTCTCAAACTCCTAACATCAGGTAATCCGCCCACCCAAAGTGCTGGGATTACAGGCATGAGCCACTGTGCCCAGCCCCATCTTGCCTTTCTTTTCTTTTCCTTCCTTTTCCCTTTCCCTTCCTTTTCCCTTTCCCTTTTCTCTCTCTCTCTCTCTCTCTCTCTCTCTCTCTTTTATTTTTGTGAGATGGAGTCTTGCTCTGTTTCCCAGGCTGGAATGCAGTGGTGTGATCTCGGTTCACTGCAACCTCTGCCGCTGGGCTCAAGTGATTCTCCTACCTCAGCTTCCTGAGTAGCTGGGATTACAAGCACGTGCCACCACACCCAGCTTATTGTTTTTTTTGTATTTTTAGTAGAGATGGGGTTTCACCATGCTGCCCAGGATGGTCTTGAACTCCTGATCTCAGGTGATCTGCCCACCTCAGCTTCCCAAAGTGTTGGAATTACAGGCGTGAACTATCACACCCAGCCCCCGCCCTGCCTTTCTAAGAATGACTGCGATACAGAAGTAGAAACCAAGCAGAGAATGGCCAAACTGATATATCCCTTGAAAAGGGATATATCAGAGTACAGAGGGACTGAGATAGCTGGAATCTGTGGAACTGAGTATCAGAATGGAAAAAGCTACAGAGAATTATAACTCTAGAAATCTAACTGTGGGTGTCTCTTTCAGTATACTGCTAAACACTACATTGTGCATGTGAAGGGTAAAATTCCATATGGCTGAACAAAGAACTACCAGAAAACTGTAACCTGAGCAATTCACACAACTCACACATGATGGCAGATACTCAGATTCCATTAGGCAAAGTAGAAAGACATTGTTCAAGAATAGGGGACATTAAACAGTAAGCTTAGAGAGTAATGTTATCCACTGTTAGAGGGCTTCATTATCCTGACATAAAGACCAGCCTTAGCTAAGTTTAAAAACAATATTCATGAGAATCCAAACTGATCCATAAGTAACTTAACTGCCTACCAAAATAAAATTGAATATTTGTAAAGGAAACCAACAAAAACCAGACATACAATAATGCGACATCACAATGTCTTGCATCCAATAATAAATTCCTACATATGTCAAAATGAAGGAAAATGTGAACCAGAGAAAAATCATTCAGTAGAAACAGCAATAGAAATAGAAATCACAAAGACAGAAAAGAAAATAACTTTGAGGTACTACTCTACAAGCATAAATCAGGAATTTAGAAGAAAATACAAAGATAATGAGGAGAGGAATGGAAGACTTAACAACAACAACAAAAGGAATATTGAGAATTGATAAATACCAAATCTGAAATGAAAAACTGGAGAGTACTTAACAGCAAATAAGGCACTGGAGATCAGTGAACTTGAAGACAGCAATAGAAACAACACAAACTGACACACAGAGATTAAAGGAAAGAATAAATTAGTAGAGAATATAATACTAACAGAATCTTAGAATCTCAGGAAAGGAGAAAAATTACTACTAAAAACAACTGAACACTTGGAAAACAACAAAAACCAGATATACAATGATGTAACGTTCACAACATAAAAAATTCACAATGAAAAAAATTGAGAATTATGGCTAAAAAGTTTCCCAACTTGATAAAAAGTATAACCTCAGAGTTAGAAGAAACTAAGCAAACCACAGGCAGGATGTAACAAATAAGGTACAGTATATCATAATAAACTTGCTAAAAACTACTGATGAAGAAAACAAAAGAAGCTAAAGAGGCCAGGTGCAGTCCAGCATTTTGGGAGGCCGAGGCGGGCGGATCACAAGGTCAGGAGATCGTGACCATCCTGGCTGATATGGTGAAACCCCATCTCTACTAAAAATACAAAAAAAAAAAAAATTAGCCAGGCATGGTGGCGGGCACCTGCAGTCCCAGCTATTCGGGAGGCTGAGGCAGGAAAATGGTGTGAACCCGGGAGGCAGAGCTTGCAGTGAGCTGAGATCGTGCCACTGCACTCCAGTCTGGGAGGCCAAAAACAAACAAAAAGAACAGCTGAAGAAAAAACACATCTTATAAAAAGGGGCAGAGCACAGTGGCTCAAGCGTGTAAACCCAGCACTTTGTGTGTCTGATGCAGAAGTATTGCTTGAGCCCAGGAATTCAAGACCAGCCTGGGCAACATAGCAAGACCTGTTTCTTAAAAAAAAAAAAAAAAGTTTAGATATCATATCCAAAACAATGCAAACCAGAAGACAATGTAATGACATCTAAGAGTGCTAAAAGGAGAGGAAAAGGGGAAGCTTATCAAAATAGAAATCTAAATCAAACAAAAACATAAAAAAAAATAAAAGATGTGCTTGATTCAGTAGGACATACACTAAAATTGGAACAATACAGAGATTAGCATGGCCCTGGTGCAAGAATGACATGCAAACTTGTGAAGTGTTCCACATTTTTAAACAAAGCATTTTACTTAAAAAATAATACAGGTGATTCTTGTTCCAGACAAAAATGGAACAGATGTATATCTACCTCTCATTTTACTAAGTACAACTAAAAGCTCTGGAAATTATCTATAATATAAACATAAGCAAACGTACTGGCAATGACCAGGCAGGACGTTTCCCAGATACTTGATTTGCCTCATATGTACAGGTTAAATTAAATAAAGTTTCCCTATTATTAAGGACAAGGCAAATAATTTCATCATATATGTTCAGTATCATAACAGAGGTCCTAGCCAGCGCAACAAGGCCAGAAAAAGAAAACAACATTGAAAAGGAAGAATTACAAACTATCTCTACTCACACATTATTTGACTGTCTATATAAAAACACCCAAAGACTCTACAAAAGAGAAAGTACTACAATTAGTGAATTACACAACAATGTTGAGGAATCCAAGGTCAAATTCAACCGTATTTCTATGTTCTATCAATGAGAAAATTGAAATCAAAATTAAACAATGCTACTTACAACGATAGAAAAGTAGCCAGGCAGGGTGGCTCACTCCTATAATCCCAACACTGTGGGAGGATAAGGCGGGCAGATCACCTAAGGTCAGGAGTTTGAGACCAACCTGGTGAACATGGTGAAACCCTGTCTCTCCTTAAAATACAAAAATAAGCTGGGTATGGTGGCATGCACCTGTAGTCCCAGCTCCTCAGGAAGCTGAGGCAGGAGAATCGCTTGAACCCAGGAGGTGGAGATTGCATTGAGCCAAGATGGCAGCGCTGCACTCCAGCCTGGGCAACAGAATGAGACTCCATCTCAAAAACAAACAAACAAAAAAAAAAAAACAAAAAAAGCATTAAATGCTTAGATACATATCAAACAAAATAATACAGAACTATAATTTCTTTATAAATTTTTAAATATAAGTATAAATTTAAAAGAAAACCAAAATATAAATCTAACCAAATACATGCAGTACGTAAGAGTATAAACAAAACAATGAATTAAAAAAAAAAAAGGCCAGGCACGGTGGCTCATGCCTGTAATCCCAGCACTTTGGGAGGCCGAGGCAGGTGAATTACTTGAGGTCAGGAGTTCGAGGCCAGCCTGGCCAACATGGTGAAACCCTATCTCTAAAATATAAAAATTAGCCGGGCATGCTGCCGGGCACCTGTAACCTCAGCTACTCAGGAGGCTGAGGCAGGAGAATCACTTGAGCCCAGGAGGTGGAGGTTGCAGTGAGTCAAGATCGCTCTACTGCACTTCAGCCTGGGTGACAGAGCAAGGTTCCATCTCAAAAAAAAAGAAAAGAAAAGAAAAGAAAAGAAAAAATCAAAAATCAAAGATAATCTAAAATAAATGGAGTGATATACCATGTCCATGGATGTCCATGGAATGAAACACTGAATGTCATTAAGATGGCAATTTCTAGGCCAAGTGCGGTGACTCATGCCTGTAATTTGAGCACTTTGGGAGGCCGAGGCGGGAGGATCACAAGGTCAGGAGATAGAGACCATCCTGGCTAACATGGTGAAACCCCGTCTCTACTGAAATACAAAAAATTAGCTGGGCGTGGTAGCAGGCACCTGTAGTCCCAGCTACTCAGGAAGCTGAGGCAGGAGAATGGCATGAACCTGGGAGGCGGAGCTTGCAGTGAGCTGAGATTGAGCCACTGCACTCTAGCCTGAGAAACAGCGAGATTCCATCTCAAAAAAAAAAAAAAAAAAAAAAAAAGATGGCAATTTCTGTCCAGGCTTGGCAGCTTTCACCTGTAATACCAGCACTTGGGGAGGCTGAGGCAGGAGGATCACTTGAGCTCAGAGGTTGGAGACCAACCTAGGCAACACAGACCCAATCTTTGCAAAAAAATTTAAAAAACTAGCCAGGTGTGGTGGCTTACACTTGTAGTCCCAGCTACTAAAGAGACTAAAGTGGGAAGATTGCTCAAACCCAGGAGGTCAAGGATGACAGTAAACCATTGCACTCTAGCCTGGGCAACAGAGGAAGACTCTGTGTCTTAAAAAAAAAAAATTGGTGATTGCAATTTTCCCCCAAACTGATCTAACACAATCTCAAGTACCAACAGAGTTTTTTTTTTTTTTTTTTTTTTTTTTTTGAGAAAATGCCAAAATAATTCACGAATTGCCATGGAAAGACAAAAACTAAGGCCAGGCGTGGTGAATCATGCCTGTAATCTCCAGCACCTTGGGAGGCCGAGGCGGGCGGATCATGAGGTCAGGAGATCGAGACCATACTGGCTAACACAGTGAAACCCCGTCTCTACTAAAAATAGAAAAAACAGCCGGGCGTGGTGGTGGGCGCCTGTAGTCCCAGCTACTCGGGAGGTTGAGGCAGGAGAATGGCATGAACCCAGGAGGTGGAGCTTGCAGTGAGCCGAGTTCGTGCCCCTGCACTCCGGCCTGGGCGACAGAGCAAGACTCTGTCCGTCTCAAAAAAAAACAAAAAAAACCAAAAAAAACACTAAAAAAAAATTGGAGGATTTATCTAATTTCAACAGTTACTGTAAATGTATGGTAATCAGGACAATGTGACACTAGCTACACAAAAGAAATGTAGAACAACAGAATAGAGTACAGAAACAGACACACATATGACTTTTTTTGAAAAATTGTGGTAAAATGCACATACTAAAACATTTACCTTTTAAACCATTTTTAAGTGTTCTAGACAGTTCAGTGACATGAAAATACATTCACATTGTTGTACGACTATCACCAGTATCCATCCTTCTCCACATCTTTTTCATCCTCCCAGACAGAATAACTGACCCTATTAAAGAAAACTCTATTCCACCCTCCCCCCAACCCCTAATAACCAATATTCTACTTTCTGTCTGTATGAATTTGTCTATTCCAGGTTCTCAAACTAGTGGAATCATAAAATACATGTCCATTTGTGTCTGACTTACTTCACTTTTATTTTTTCTTTTTTGACTCAGAGTCTCATTCCGTCCACCAGGCTGGAGGGCAGTGGCACGATCTCGGCTCGCTGCAACCTCTACCTCCTGGGTTTAAGCGATTCTCCTGCCTCAGCCTCCTGAGTAGCTGGGATTACAGGGGCACACCACCACGCCCAGCTAATATATATATATTTTTTGAGACGGCATCTTGCTCTCGTCACCCAGGTTGGAGTGCAATGACATGATCTTGTCTCGCTGAAACCTTCAGGCCACCAATGTCTGCTAATATTTGTATTTTTAGTAGAGATGGGGTTTCACCATGTTGGCCAGGCTGCTCTTGAACTCCTGACCTCAGATGATTCACACGTCTCCGCCTCCCAAAGTGCTGGGATTACAGGCGTGAGCCACTGCATCTGGCTGCTAATGATTTTCTTAACAGCGTCTGGGAACTTGTCTACTGCCTCTTGGTTGGCAGAAGCAGCTTCTCCTTTTATCTTGACCTTTTCTTTTTCTTTTTTTTGAGACGGAGTTTCATTCTGCCACTGAGGCTGGAGTGCAGTGGTGTGGTCTCGGCTCACTGCAGCCTCCGCTTCCTGGGTTCCAGCGATTTCTCCTGCCTCAGCCTCCTGAATAGCTGGGACTACAGGTACCCGCTACCACGCCTGGCTAATGTTTTGTGTTTTTAATACAGAAGGGTTTCACCATGTTGACCAGGCTGGTCTTGAACTCATGACTTCAAGTGATTGCCTGCCCCGGCCTCCCAAAATGCTGAGATTACAGGCATGAGCCACTTAGCTGGCTTTCTTTTTTTTTTTTTTTTTTTTTTTTGAGATGGAGTCTTGCTCCGTCACCCAGGCTAAAGTGCAGTGGTGCGATCTCGGCTCACTGCAAGCTCTGCCTCCCAGGCTCAAGCAACTCTCCCTGCCTCAGCCTTCCAAGTAGCTGGGATTACAGGCACCTATCACCATGCTCGGCTAATTTTTGCATTTTTAGTAGAGACAGCATTTCGCCAGGCTGGCTGGGCTGGTCTTGAACTCCTGACCTCAGGTGATCTACCAGCCTCGGCATCCCAAAGTGGTGGGATTACAGGTGTGATCCACCACGCCCAGATAGGTATGTCTTTTTAAGGCAATCCTGCACCCACATAAAAACCGCATTTTCGGCCAGGCATGGTGGCTTACACCTGTTATCCCAGCACTTTAGGAAGCCGGGGCGGGCAGATCACGAGGTCAGGAGATTGGGACCATCCTGACCAACATGGCGAAATGCATGTCTACTGAAATGCAAAAAATGAGCTGGGCGTGGTGGTAGTTCCAGCTAGGGGAGGCTGACGTAGGGGAACTGCTTAAACCCGGGAGGCAGAGGTTGCAGTGAGCCAAGATGGTGCCACTGCACTCCAGCCTGGCGACAGAGCAAGACTGTCTAAAAAACAAACAAACAAAAAACCCCTGCATTTTCAATATGAGATAAAAAGATATCCTGGAAAGAGTACAAAGTTTTTGCACCTGCTGGCACAGCTGTGGTGATGGCTTTGTGAAACTCCTTTTCTTTTTTCAAGTCCTTATGCTAGATTCATTTATTTTTCTTCTTTTCTTTTGAGATGGAGTCTCACTCTGTCGCTCAGGCTGTAAGGCAATGGCATGATCTCGGCTCACTGCAACCTCCACCTCCCGGGTTCAAGCAATTCTCCTGCCTCAGCCTCTGGAGTAGCTAGGATTACAGGTGCCTGCCATCACACCTGATTTTTTGTATTTTTAGTAGAGACGGGGTTTCTCCATGTTGGCCAGGCTGGTCTCTAACTCCTGACCCCATGATCCGCCCACCTCTGCCTCCCAAAGTGCTGGGATTATAGGTGGGAGCCACTGTGCCTCGTCCATTTATCTTGAAATGGTGGGCAATCACAGCTGCAGACCTCAATCTATGGTACATATCAAGCAGTTCAACTTTTTGTTTTCTTGTAATGCCAGGACTTTTCTCTCGTTCTTGGAAGCACTTCTAACATTACTAATCCCATTTCATATAGGTCTCATAGGGTCATTCAAGGTTTATGGAAGCATAGTAAAAACAATGAGAACGCAAGAACT